ACCACAAAGCTTTTTTAATGCACTAAAATACACAAATTTAAATATATACAGTGAAACTAGCAAACACACACATCACCACTACAGACCTGCACTCACACACAGCCCTAACTGCATCCCTTCCAAATGTACTGTAGTATTAATTACTGAGGGAACACTGCAGTACTGTATTTAATTACTGACTAAATGAACCATTTAAACTTTACTGCTGGTTCAATTAACCGGGTTAAGTGAGATTGGGTGATTGTAACTCACTTAACATTTGAGCTGATATCTTCTGACTTCCATAGTCTGGTGGGGTGGGGTGGGAGCTGTAGCTGTTTCAGAAAATATCAACTGATCAAATTTAATAATTACTGTCTGTGGAGGCAAAGGCGTTGCTCAACTGCTGCAAAAATGTTGCTTTAAGCTGAAACCAGATGGAGTTAACTCTGAGTCAGGTCACAATGCAGGACAAACAGAGATAACCCAAATACAGGTAAAAATGTCATATAATGTCATAAATGTGTTTTCTTTCACCTAAAATTAGACATTTAGCTCAATGAATGAAAGAAAAGTTAATTGTTGCAAATCATGCTTTACATAAGAACAGAGCTAGAGTTAATGAAATCACACTAAAGAACAAAAAGTCTGCATTAACATTTGATCCGTTGTGAACAGTTAAAATGTAGTATTTTGGTGTTTTTTTATATTTGATTATTAATTTTTTAGCTACCTTTGAGGCTAACAACAAACTACACTTACAGGTAAAAACCATAGACATGAATACGTAGATGCCCCATTGTCTAACAATGTCACCGCCATATGGGATTGATCTCTTCACTCTTCAAACCCAACTGGTGTCAACGCAGAGTGAGCTAAGCCTGTTTTTGTGCAGCCTAAGGTTGGAACAACAAGCGCACTATTGAAAACACATCACATGGGATTACTATTGACTCTTCTCGCCTACCTTATGGGACTTTATGTTTTAATAAATTAATTTATTTGATTAGATTTATATTTTACCTATCATGCCATATGATATGTCTGATTTTGTTAAAAAGCACAATAAAATGTGTTTTTTTATTGGGTGAACAGAACACCTTCCTCAGGAGAAATAAATGCACTGGGGGCGAATGGAGACCCATCCAAGATGGTGGCTGGCCACTACGTCATCTCCAATATGCAGCGCCAGTTTACGGGTGTCTACGTATGAGTTGTCTGTGGTAAGAACACCAGTTAGGCTCTGTCAGAGATGACAAGGTAGAGGGCAGGTGTTGAACATAAAGGGAAGAGCACAACGAGAGTGCAGTGGAGAAGAGGGAAGGAGCTAGTCTAGGAGATGCTCTTGAAGAGCTCAGTTGTCTTAACACTCAGTAGAGTTAGACTGATATATCGGCTGGCTGATAAACTGGGCCAATTTTTAACTTTTTTCATATAATGGCATCAAGCAACGTAACTCGTAAGTAGAGCCGACTAAAAGTCAGAAACACCCATGAGCAGCTCTGTGCTTTTGTCAAATTATTATTAAATGTATATTTATGTTCCTAAAAACATCTGCTTAATAAATGCTTTTAAACATTGTTGTCAACTAACATTTCTTTTTATTCACATGCTTTGGATACTTAATCCTTAGTCAGTTTATTGATTTGTTTGATTAACTTTGGTTAAAAGTTAGACTTTAAAATAGTCAGCGTTCAAAATCTGATTGGGTTCAGAAATGTTGCACACTATAATTACTAGTGTGACATTCTAGTATGCAAACAAGGCACAAAACATCAAGATATCAGCCATGAATATTGCCCCTAAAGATCATCAACATATATCATCATCGGCTAACCATGACCTCCAATTACCAGTGTCAGTATTTGCAATAAAAAACCCATTTCAGTTCATCTCTACTCAGGAGTTCATTCCACCATCATGCAATGGAACAGGAAAAGTCTGGATTATCTTGAGCATGGTGTAGACGTCGCTAGTCAACAACTCTTTGACCTCCAATGACCAAAATGATCAGGTCATCATGTAAGCCGTAGAAGGGAGCAGTTCCATTTAGGATCTATGTGCTCATTTACGCTGATTGAAGACCAGACGCTTGACAACATTTGCAGACATGCCTCGTACAGACTGGGAGACCAGAGAGAAGATCATTGTAAAAGTCAAAGTGGAAGATGACCATAGACAGCATCAGGAGCTGGGTGGGTGGCACCTTCTGTTAGGTATAGCCTGAGCTTCCAATGCAATGCAAAGTGGAATATAAGAGCAACAAATAAAATAATGTCTTAAAAGTTTCAGCTACTTTTGATGGAGCTAAGAATTTTGTTTGGATTGAAATATTGTGCTGCTTTGACTGGGAGGACAAGCAGATCAGTCAGAGTTGGCACTGGAAAAAAAGGAAGCTGAGAAATCTAAAGCTCCTCTGTAAAAGTTAACATTCCACACCTGATAATTACAAACTCTGTAACACCATGATGATCCATGTAGAGGAGGATGAAGCTACAAGTGCTTAAGATCAGGTGTACGGCACTGCAGAAGCGTCTCCAAGCTCATGTATCTTCTGCTCAGATTTAACTAGTAAATGTAAAGTTTAGCTTTTGTCTAGCAAGAATAACTTTTCAGAATTATCACATGACTCTGTAATTTTATGGACCTTTTTGGCCAAGACATTATTTAATGTGGAATCCTTCTGTTCTGTGACGTAAAAGCCATAAAGGCGTGTTTATTGAGTTTTACATCTATAAAACTACAAAACGTAATAAGACAACATGACATGCAGTTCTAAAGAGGACAGTAACAATGAATTACCAGAAGACAATTTGTGGACGTTTTAACAACATCAAAAACTGGACACCACTCAACTTACAGGAGGACTCATGTACGTCCACACAGAAGCTTGTGTATGCCCTCTCATAATGACTTACTACTTGGACCACAACAGAAATGTACACCCTTGTAGATGTGGAAAGTATGTCACTAGTGGTACTTTTCTCAACCATCTATGTGGTCCAAGTTAACTGAATCATTAAGTGCTATTAACGATCTCTATAGCCTTTAGGGTGACTGTTCAAAGGACCTGAGTTCAATTCAAACTCCTGCTGCTGACCGACAGATGTAGAAATGTAACTCTAACATCATCTTCAAGAACATTACTGGGCTCCCAATTAATTCACCTCTCTTCACCTCTTATCTGCCTTTCCTATTTGACCAGGGCGTGTTAACAGCATTTAGTTATTTGGGTGGTAGGAGATAAAGAAGACTGATAAAAGTAAGTAAATCAGAGAGTGTTTCTGTTCCTCGGTCTGAGAGGATCAGATAACTGACATTAAAGACAACGGTGCAAAGAGAGATGCGTAGATCAAGGATGAACGAGAGCAGTATCAAAAGGATGATTCTGGGATATGGACCACCACCACAGGCCATGTTAGGGAGTGTCAGTTATTACAGTACGTGCTAATCTACCTACATCTCTGCACCTCACCGGCCAGAGACGTGTGACGTATCACAATAAAATGTGTTTATCACTTAAGTAGGGCTGCAACAAACGATTATTTGGATAATCAATTAATCGGATGGGGTCTCGACACGATTAATCGGATTATATGGGGAAATTTTTAAAAACTGCTAGGGAAACGTTATTTCTCTCCTTCCTTCACTTTATTAAACACAACATTATTAGAAAACAGTTCAATAGCAGAAAAACAACATGCCATCACCTAAATTGTCTTATAAGGTGTATAGACAGAGACCCTAGGCTACACCTATCTGTGACCTAAAATGCTTGGTCCAAGTTAAACAGCTTAAGGGGAATTCTCATCTGTTTTGTTTGATCTCATCTGTTGACATTTATTATAACTGGGGATGTCAAACAACTAATTTTTAAATGTAATTAAACATAGGCTGTGAATTAATCAAAATTAATCACTATTTCCAAAAATGACTGAAAAAATACCAAATAAAACAAAAGTAAATGAATGCCGCCCTCCTTGTGATGATGCCCTGGGCAACTGCCATAAAGTCACATCAAGAAATGATGCTGATCATTCCAATGATCCCAAATAGACGCACATTAGGCCACATGAAAGCAACTGAACCCAAAAATATATTAACCAGTACATAACTGCACTCTCACACAACACGCCTGCAGCAACAGTTAGGACTCCTCCCTCCCTTTTAAAAGCGTTTTTGCTTCCGAGGACATTGTGGCTGTAAAACCACATGCTAGTAGTCTGGCCCCGGTGTGATCAACCAGCTTCTGCGGGAATGTGACGGCGGAACCGGTTCGCAGCAGCACGAGTCTGCGGGAAGATCCACACACACACACACACACACACACACTCATCCAGTAAGCGTCGCGCTCACGACTTTGTAGACTTTTTTTTTATTATTATTATTTTTTACGAGCATAGGGCATGTCTAGCCTGTGTAATAATCCGGGGCTTGGGTGAATCACTTTTGAAAAGTTTTTAACTTAACCGGACACAGAGCTCTCTTCTTCCTCGCTGATGATTCCGACATGCTTGCGTTTAAAATGCTGCATCATCACCGTAGTACTCCCGTGCCATGCTAAGTCTGACCTAAACGTTGCAGGTAACGAATGTCGTCGCCTGATTTAACTGAAAATGCTCCCAAACTTAAGAAGTTTTTACTTTTTTGGGTCTCGCTGCTTCTACCACGTTTCTCTTCCAAACACCTGCCGGCTCTCCCTCGCGCTGATCTGACTTGCTCCGGTCTGCGCGCAACGGCGGGCAGGGGCGGGGGACTTTTGGAAAAGTTGTGCGACACAACGAATCGATGACGCAATTTGTTGCCAACGCTTTTAGTAATCGATTTTCATCAAATTAATCGATTCGTTGTTGCAGCCCTACACTTAAGTATAAATACTCTTATTTATGGAATCCTCTGAAAGCTGTTTTATTTAACACTAGGACGTGTTTAAGACAAAAGAATCAATGCAAAATGGTAGTTTCTAGAAAATTATTACGTTTTAAAAAGATCTAATTTAAGGGGATGATAAAAATAGTTACCAAAAAGTTGGTTTGTTTGCTTGGTGAGCAGTGAAGGGCTGTGCGGTGAGCCTGATGCTGCTGTTGTACTTGTTCCAGCTGTTTCTGCAGTTGAGCTTGGAGTTCCATGATGTGCTGGTCTCTCTGAGCCAACTGGTCCCTGAGCTCCTGGTGACTCTGATGGAGTTTGGCCTCACTAGACACGAGAGTCTGGTAGCACTGACTCAGCTCCTTGTTTAGCTGTCAACAAAAACAAGAAAGGTGGATAGATGGTCTGAGGTAAGGTAAGGAGGCAGAGGAATGATTATGACAACCAGTGACGGTTGACAAACTGGTTGAGGACTACATGCAGTTGAACTAGGGCTGGGTGATATGGCCTTAAATCAGTATCACAATATATTGAGGAGTTCACCTCGATAACGATAAATGGACGATAACTACATGTAAGCGCAAAAACAATAGTTGCCCACTAGATGGAGCTGTCTCGTGTTGAGTCATGTTGTCATGTGACTCAAAGTGGTACAGCTTCTTAAAGGAACATGAACGTCGCCCACCTACACACATCTTATCATTTGTTAATTATAGAATTTATCGTCATGGGAAAAATGATATTGGTTTGTCAGAAATGTCAATTGATTCGATTGATTTATCGCCCAGCCCTAAGTTGAACAAATAGTTTTTTTCTGAGTTTGAAGTTTCCGTTTGTGTTCGTAACTACCTGCTGATATGTGGTAGCATCAGCAGTGTGTGCCTCTTCTTGATTTCTCAGGACTCTTTGTGTGTCCAGATTGAGTCCCTCCAGTTGCTTGATGAGGTGGCTCTGTTCTGCTGCATGCTCAGTGCTCTGTCTGTACAGAGTCTGAACTTCTGCAAACTCATGACTGCAAACATAAACACACAAAAAGTACCAAAATCAAACTTAGATTTACATAATGTATTTGAAAGAAAATGGTTGAGTGAAATGATTAGTGTGTCTCAGGAAAAATGTCTTTACTCTTCTTATTTGTATTTGCAGATGGCATCACGGGAAAAAAATCACGTAGAAAAGCAACATCTCAGGACAGTTGCTATGAAGGTAAAGCTTGGTAGCAAATGGGTCTTCCACATGGAAGACGACTGTAAGCTTACTCCACAATTAGCGACAAAGTAGCGTACGGAGAATAAAGATAACTTTTTGACTTGATCTCAATTCAGTAGATTTGTAGCACAAACTGAAAAGGCGAGTGAATCAAGGCATCCTACAAACCTGACTTGGGTACACCTGCTCCGTCGGGCAGACTGGGACTAAATTTCAGCAAAAATGTAATACAGTACATAATAACCTGGACCAAAATGAACAACAAAATAATGATGTTGATGATTGTAGTCAATAAAGTGACACTTCTTATCAGAGTAGAAAAATCCAAATCAAATAAATTGTTTTTCTGTTCTCCCAGTGGACTTCTATGAAGTACTCCTGCAACCTATAAGTGCATTAAATTAGTGTAAGAACAGCCTATAGCTCCGAAGTGACTGACATTTCGAACTGCCTCTGGCGTTTAAGCAGAGAAGTAGTTAAAAAAGGGCTGAGATTACCATTAAGGCTCCTACAGTTTCTGCAGTTTTTATTATATCGACTAAAGCTTAGTGAAAGCCTTCCCTGTTTCCCCTTTTCCCTCCTTTAAAGCACATTCACTATGCAGGGCTTATCAAATGGCTTTAGGTGAGCCAGGGTGGAAGAAATGTGTGTCACCCTCAAGACTCACAGTAATCAGGAGAATACCCACACCTTAATGCAGTTACCTATACAGACATATAGCTCACAGTTTACACAGCACAAGTTGTCTTTTAACTCGTGAAATTACCCATAAAAACATCTATGAATGTGCTGCTCTTTAGAAAAAGTGAAATAGCTCTTAAGCTGACGAGACTTACCGAAGTCGATCTAGCTGCTCTTGTTTCGTTGCTTCTTCTCTCTCTTTAGAAGAAAGCTGGGCAGCTAGACCATTAATGTACTCCTGTGACTGAGACAGCTCTAGCCAGGCAATGCGTAGTTTTTCTTCCAGATCCTAATGTGAAAAGTGAAAGTAATAATTAAAAAAATCTAAAATAAAAATAACTGATTTTTTAAATAAGTCACATTAACTGTTAATTCTGATCATTACAAGCAATGCTACATATTTCAAGCCTTTATTCGTTTTTAATTGCGATGATGATGGCTTACAGCTTATGAAAACCCCAAATTCAAAAAGAATATTTGAATATTGTGAAAAGAGTTAGGCCTAAAGTGTCACACTCTAATCAGCTAATGAATCCAAAACACCTGCAAATGGTTCCTGGGTCTTTTTTATTTTTTATTTATTTTTTTGACCGTGTCCTGTCTGGCTGTGAAGCAAGCAGAATTGATGTCTGAATGCTGGTAACAAGCCATACAGATTTATTCTCAGGGGGAGCATCAAAGCGTCTGCTTTAAATGTCACGCCTGAAACTTCAAATTTTATTGTTGTTGTTTTTGAATGCTTTGTAATTCCGACCAGACACGGAGACAGAGGTGAAAGAGAAAGGAAAAGACAAATGGTGGGAAGAGGGGGGGGGGGGGGGTTCCACAAAAATAAACAATAATGAACAAGAGTCTGCTTCTAGAACTGCAGAAAGAGAAGAGCAGAAAAAAATGGGACACACAACAATACATCAGGAGCAAGCTATCACTGCGTTAACCTGATGATGAAATATAAAATCAACATTGTTTAACTGAACAATCACACGATAATAAATCACAGTGCATTTAGTGGCGACGACAGCCTCAAGACATGTGTTGAACGTGCCCAAGCCCATACTTTTGAGAGCACCATGTGAGCACCTGTGTGTGTACACGCGCTTGTTTATGTAAGGTTTCTCTATAGGAGCGTCCAATAGAGTGTGAGGGACCACATATCTGCCCCCCAAAGATGTGTAGGAGACGGGGGGAGCTCCAAGTCCCAGAGATCCAGGCGCTGCCCCAGAACACAGGAACCCCAAGGAGACTGCAACCAGAAAGGCCCTCGCCCCCCTCGAGAGGCGCAGAGGATCGCCCCGGGGAGCCACAACCAGCAGCCGGCAGAGCCCCGGGAGATATCAGCGGCAAGCCCACAGGCCTGCCCGCAGCCTCCCACCCCCTAGCCGGCCGAGCCTGGGACCCAGCGACCCGGGACCCAGGGGCAACCACCCCTGCCGGGGACCCAGCAGAGCCCAGGGACCCAGACCCCACCAGGCAGCCACCGGGACTGACCAGGCAGGCGCCTAAGATCTTAAACCCCCTGACCCGGGAGCCACGAATACTCAGGCAGACCAAGGCACCACACCCCACACCAGGGTCCTGGGCCTTTAAATGGTTTCTCGCCCCTCTTTTCCACTGGACATGAAAGCATCGCAAAACAGCCGCGAATCTTAGATGGGTTCCTATCCACCGGCAGCAAAGTGTAATGTTTTGGACGCGTCCCAGAAGCGAAGATACTCTGTCATTACATTTCGAGTCTATTTTTTACATATAAACCCCACACCTACACTGGCATATCTGTTTGTGCACCTGTTGCAAAAATGCCAGCTATTATGGTTCTGCTCATAGACATCTATGGAAATAAATGTCTGATCCAAAAGACATTAAAAGTTCACAAAAGAACATTCACTTCAAACACAAAGAAAGTGAAGTCTGAGTTGTTTCAGGTGCTCAGGAATACGTCCACGAGGTAATAACGCTTAGCTTGACTCATTCATGGGAAATTCTCCCTGATGCTCTAAACTGAGGTCGATCTCACCGCTGTTTACTGAAGGTAAGAAATACTCACGCAGCCTTGCATCACCAAAAATTGAACTATCCCTTTAAGAAATATTAATCAAAATTCATTTCATGAGGTCTGTCATTGAGGTTTGCCACCACTGTTTTTGAACTGACAACTTAAAACAGCTTAATGTGGTTTGCTTTTCTATAATATAGATCCAAAGATGTTTTAGACACATCTTTGCTCTCTAACAAACTACTGTAATGTCTAAACTTCGCATTTCCATATTTTAAAAGCTAACTGGCTACAAAAAGAACAGGTGGAGATTTAAAGGTTCTGATGGATATGCAAGTGGCTGGGCTCCACCGGATCCAAGTGTAATTACTCAGTATCCCTTACTTATTCAAGACCTTGTCTGAACCCATTTGACTTATAAAGCTAAATGTTTATAGATTAGCTGATACCTTAAAAAGTTGGATATGAAGATCATGAGCAGCTATTATTCCTGAGAGCTTAATTTTTGCACAAAGCTAATTCTTGCAAAGCATTTTAACATGCTCAATACTTATTTTTTTATGGAACAAGATGAGAAGTACAAATCCATCTATTTGGTAAAGTTAGATTACTAAATTTGGACTGAATCAATGGCAGAAAAAAACCCTCGAACCAAAGCTGGCTACAGTCCTGAAAAACCTCAACCCAAACCAGGAACGTCTCTTTCAAGTTAATAAGAATATTTCCATCCTTTCAAATGTTGTCACTGTATATTTAGGTTTGAACTTTGCTACAGAAATCTCTTTATATTCACAGGCTGATGATAAACATCCAAAAACCCAGAAAGTTCAAGGTTTGTTTGTTCCTGAAAGGGCTTGTCGCTCTGCTCAAACCTTTAATCTGGACTGGGCGGCATCCCTCTCGTCTCGCTGGCTGTCGACCTGCCTCTGTTTTTCCTCCAGGTCAGCTCTTAGGGCAGCGCAGTGGGATGCTAATCCCCTTTTCTCCTCCTCTAGAGCCTGTACCACCTGCTGCTGCTCCTCTTCTTTTCTTCTACACTCGGTCTTCATTTCCTGGATAAAAAAGCAATGCAAGTGTGCTGTTATGTATGTGTGTGAGAGCAGAAGAGTTGCGGGTCAACCGGGCCAAATAAACAATAGTGACAAAAGAAGAAAAACAGGAAAAGTAACAGTTCAAACTAGAGAACAGAAAAGAGAAGCAACCCATGGGGTTGCGGCTGAAATGAATACATGAACAGAGGACCAGCTTTTCTGCAGGGGGCCCCTGCATGTGTTGCTGATTGGCCAAGGTCATCTGTGCTGTATGACTGGGCCCTCGTGACCAGGTGTTGGTTGGTATGGGCCGAGACGTGCTGCTGGTGCTGGGCTCATGCGGGTACAAAGGCCAGTCTGTCAGCTTTAATGACAGCTTCTAATGAGAATGCTGTTTGCTGCAAGACCCATTAGACTCAACCCAGGTATCCTTTGATGACGTCCGTCACTATAACACGGCACGAGACCCCAACATGACTGTGTGAGGACCATTCCTTTATCAATTAATCATAACCGTGTCCCATCGAAGCATAATTAGGCAGAAGCCACACCGGCAAATGTACGCCTTTCACTTTCCCCTGTTGAAGGGAGCATTAAGTATTTATATGCAAGTTAACAACCTGCTTCACACACACACGGTCTTTCCAGCTGTTAAGTATTCTGTGCTGTCAGTAGAAGGAGAGGAAGCTAAAAGAACAAGCAGGTGAAAATCAGTCAGGGTGACGACATAAAGACACTCGGATTGTGTTCAAGAGGGCTGAGCAATCCTCACCGTCCTCCAAATGACTCAGAGGCACAGAGCTTTAGCCACAGGGGAGCTTGTCGTATTCAGCGCCACACAGAAGAGAGACTTTGGAATCTGAGGCTCATACAGCCACAGACAATTTGTTCCACCAACCTTAAGTTCATGATTCTTATTGACCAGTTGTTCACGCAGAGTTGTCAGCTCCTTCGTTAAAGCGCTATCCTCTCCCACTGCTGTCGTCCTCTGAACCAAACTGCTAATCTCCTGCTGCTGCCCTGTCACTTTCTGTGGCGGACAAAAACACAGAACAAACAGAACAGAGAGCAGCAGTGACATAAAGCATAAAGGAGAGACACAAAGATTGCATAACGCCCTTTAATTTTGAACAAAATCCAGGTTCTGTGCTAATTAACACAAAAGCAGCATTAGAATCGGATTTTACCCACAAAAAGAGAAAAGAAATTCTGATTTAATGTCATTTTTTATTATTTATCTGATTATCCAGGGCTACAAAATATTATTTTGAAGTAGGGCTCATTAGGTAGAGGAAGGTAAAGGCACCACAGGCTTAAGATATCTTTGACAATATCCGGAGCATTACAGAAATGATAGTTAAACTTGTCACACAAGAAAGAAAAAGAACATAAGAAACAAGGAAAGGAAAAAAGTCTAGGCATGAGAGTTGATAGATTAGGAAAACAGTGAGATTCGTGGAATCAGCAGACCATCACATCTTCAAAAGGAAGAGAGAAAACTAATTATTCTGTACCAGACAGTAAGATGAGATGATGACCGTCAGTAAGGCATGATCGAGTACAAAAAGACTGCTAGTCACATTGGGAATAAACACGAGGCATATTAGCAACAGAGAGCTACTTAATGTTTAACAAGGTATATAATTTGGTTTCTTGTGTTTAACAAAGTTAGGAACATATGTTTGTTGCTAGAGGCAACACAAGCAAATACAGAGGAAACCATAAAACCTGGCATGTACCACAACAAATAACTGAATCTGTTAAAAGCATAAGAGAAGCTGGTTTAAAGGTCTCATTCACAGAGAAACGGCGTAGAACTGGTTCTTGTTAAAATATGATCGCTCACGCTGAGTCGCAAATGAAAGCTGAACGTGAAAATGTTTTTTAACCACTATCGCATGGATTAGCTGCTGAAAGCAACTAGACAGGAAAACGCTTGGGTCAGGAAAAGCCAGGCTCTTCTACGTCTTAGGAAAAGTTAGCATTCATGGTCTTGCAACCAGGGAATGTTACCGACTTTGCTGCAAGGAAACAGCATGTCTCAGCTAGTAGGGGCTAACAATTAGCATTAGCAACTCCATGGCATGGCAGTACACATTCAGGTTTGTGTTATTTGTGGAGCTAAAACATCAACGCTGCATTTTTTTTTTACCCAAGAAAGCAGGGCGAACGAAGGCAGCAAAAGAGTTGTGTTGCTGGTAGCCAATCAGAGGCAAGATGTTTACATATCATAGATATTAATAAGTAAGACTCCAAATCCTGCCGTTTTCAGCCCCCCCCCCCCCCCCCCCCCCCCCCCCCCCTTCTCCGACTAACTTCTAGTCCCTGATACAGGAGTGCCGGGGCTTTATTCCACAGAAAACAAAACACAAGGCATTCATTCATAACTAGAGACCAAAGATTTATTGAAAAAAAAACTGCTGGATGAGACCTTTAACTAATCTACTGTGAACCTTAAATATCCTTGAGATGTTAACAGGAGGGAATGCTGATAATCTTGCAACTATTTCCTCCTTGTCCACTAGTGACCAACCTGGAAGATCAGCAGGCAGGACGATGTCCAAACAGAACAACGAATCTGCACAACTGTTTACTGTGAGAGAGGAAGTGAGTGAATGCGAGCGCTTGTGCTGCTGACCAAAATATTCGTGTCTACAGTTGATTTTGTTATAAAAACAAGAGACTCGTTGGTTATTCTCAACACATTGTTTAAAACACAGCACATCATGTCATGGATCCTGCAATCCTCCCTTAAAATTTCTCAATGTTAGAGATCTCTAGCAGAAAATCTCCCCCTCTGAAGTGCATATGTGAACAGTAACCACGGAAAAAGCCCAGACTAAACTGTCCCAACATTCTGCTGAACATTCCAGGAGTTCATGTGTGAAAACATCAGAAGATGTCAGATGAATGACTGGAAGTTCAATAGTTTAATCTGGAGATGCTGTTAAGACAGTCTAGTAGGAAAAGTAAATTCATCAGAAATGCTCCTTTAGATCGTTTGCCAAGTTTTTTTTTTTGTTTTTTTTCTTTGGGGGTGGGGGGGTTTAACTCTTCAGTAGTTCTACTGGACCTGACTGCCACCATGACAGAAAATTGCAGACCTATAAATGTGTAATCTAACATCTAAACATACTCTACCTGTTCTAGTTCTTGAATCTTGTAGTCTTTGGACTGGAGGATCTCCAAAACTTTCCTGTCTTTGATCTCAGCTTTGTGCTTCTCACTGTAAACGGTCAAGAAAAAAGAAGAGCATGTGTGTGATTTAAAAGTCATTTTATAGTTCATGCCTCTTAAAGAAACCCCAAAAGTTCTTTGCTTTATGTAAAGTATCTTTTCTAAAATGGAGGGAAAAAAGCTTCGTTTGGGGACCTGTTTGTTTCAGCTGCATTAGACCAACAGGGACCAACTATTGCATTCACTCGTCACATCTTCTCCACCTCCCATCTCCAAGGCCTTTTCCATCGTCTTGTTGCCCCTTCTGATCAGCCCTCTCCCTCGGCAGGCGCTGTTATCCCGGGAGGGGCTGGAACATAGGCAGGCCGGGCTGAATTTCATCGTACATCGGGGGCTGTGTTCACCATGTCCGAAGCAACCAACCAATCACTTTACACGGTTCACACAGAATGAAGAGGGAGGGATGAATGGCAGTTCCCACTGGGCACCAGCGCTTGACTGGAGTCGACACAATTACCATGTCAATATCCTCCTGCGCATTAGGCGATACAATACACACACACACGATCTCTGGGCGTGTGTTCCCACCACCACTCTCAGTGGACCAACACACTTTGATGAGTTTCCTATGGAGCTTTAAGTAACCGAAGTGGGTACGTGAAGTATAACATTAGGAACTGAAGAAATGTTGTACTGTCTTCCGACAACTGAGAGATGTCTTAAAGTAATTTAGATGCACCAGAAATTACAACAACAAAGAAAGGGACACAAAACATTTGCTGTAATAGTAATGGAACAATATCTCCCTTAAGATACGTATTTAATTTATCCATATGAGCATTGATAGGAAAACACCTGAACCTTTACGTTCTCCGACAGTTCCCATGCCACTCTTTTTCCTTCGGCTTAGCAATCCAGCAAAAGAGGTCTTACCATTTATCCACTAAAGACAAGCATTTGGCAGGACTGTTTCAACTGTCCAGCATGTGAGCAGCAGAGGAAGAGTGTTTTCATTAAACGGGTTTCCATTGTTTGAACTGCAAGACTGGGGATAAGAGGGCTTAAATCAGCATCTGCACCAGACTCCGTCATAACCCCTGCAGAATGGCCAAGGCCCTTTAAAAAGCCCCCTTAAACAACTTTCACACACATTTCCCTCTGCTCGTGAGATAAAATAATATTCAGCTCTTGAGCTTCTCAGGTGGCAATGCCAAAGATGAATCCACTCACCGCTCAACCACCAAACTGACTGCCTGGGTCAAATCTGGATTTGCCACTTGCAGACGTTTCCACAGAGACCACACAAACTCCTTGTCTGCCTGCAAAAATAAACAAAAGTTGAAGGTTTCAGCAAATCTGTGGCTGGAACTTTTAATAGAGATACGTGGTTTTAATACTTAGTATCTTAAAGTTGATTTCTGGTGAATATCGAAAAGAAAAAGTAGCAACGCATCAATGCTCTTCGGGGTTGGAAATTAAACATTAAACAGGACGCTCAGTGACATTAGCATACGACAGTAGGGGTAGTCAATCAATAATTTAAACAACTTGTACAAAACAGTTTTTCATCTGGCCTGCCCTCCCTAATCATAAGCCTCCCTATGCAGTAATCTCCATCGCTGAGATGTGACCTTCGACTCAACGGGAGCGAGCACTGACACTTGTCATTATGAACTATTTATGACTGGGGAGAGCAAGAATCCAAATCAAAACGCAGCAGTCGAGCTCGCATTCGCCTTATTAATCAATCGGTCTCTGGGACGTGTTTACCATGCACAGCTCCAAAGAAACTCAAAACTGATGACAGAGAGAGTCATCCACAAGTTTTGAAAACCCCAGCCAGCCCCTGACACATTTCCAATTCAAATTGTCTTGCCGGCTTTTCAAACATTTTTAAGCTACATTACATTTAATGAGGGACATCTAAAAACTACGTTTGACATTAAAAGACAGAATTATACCAAATCGGCTTAATATAAAATTATCTGATATATTATGTTCACATCATCAGAAGATAAAAGTCATCCCTCCCACTGGAATCTACTGGTCTCCAATTAGTACATGAATTTTAGGCCCTCTTTTCAAAAATGTCTAATCAATTATTTACTAAAATGGCAGCATCAGACCTTGATAAGGACATGAGCTGAACTTATAAAGTGGAAGGACTTCTGTAGATCTCTCTCTCTCTCTCTGTATATATATGTATGCATGTGGTGTGTGTGTGTGTGTGTGTGTGTGTGTGTGTGTGTGTGTGTGTGTGTGTGTGTGTGTACAAAGGGAAGCAAGAGGCATGATGGTGGATGCAGATCTCACAAAAATCAACGCTAGAACACCGCTAATTATTAAATGAGGCGGCGTGGTTGACGTGAAATATGTGGTCTCCCTCTGTCTGGCCTTTGGCTGCCATTAACCGTTCGGCTGACAAGTGTTCAGTGAGGACCCTCATCAAAAGCTCTCCTCTGCCGTATGTGCACTTAAAGATACATTGAATGAGTGTTTGATGATCACTGAATTATTCATTTTTGAATCGAGATACTGAAACACCATGGGCCAAACATACCAGTGAGAGGGAGAGAAACTGGAATTCAGCACATATTAGTAAAATTAGCGTGGCCTAGCTGGAACGTTTGCCGGCTGACAGATGAGACTCTTTGTAGTTAATGGCCGTCCTGAAGTACATCATGCCCGAGACTTAAGACATCAGTGGTATTCAAATGGCACTATTTAAAATGTACACTGCACATCTTACGGTTCTTATTAGATAAACAGAATCACTGATGTTCGACTTTTGACAAGACCACCAATGATGGTCGCCAAGTTGGTTAAAAAAACCACATAAAAAATACTCGAGTATATAAGTGGTATTTTTAAGCTATGCTCTGTAAACAACAGAACACGGGATGTTTGATATCTACTTTTTTACTGATATCTGTTACACTGATTTATACCAAAGTATGAGGACAACTTCAATTAAAGTTAGGCCAGTTGTATCAAACAAACAAAAACATATCAAAATCTATACCTCGGCTCAGATATGTCATATTTTGACATTTTGAGTAAGACAAGTAGGTTTGATACATCATTTATGGATGATATGTAAAAGTTGTGCCAATAAAGGTTAAATATGGAACAATTTCATAAAATGCTATATATATATATATATTAAATATTCCACGAGGCGTTTAGAGGAGTGCAGACAGAAGGCAGAGTGTTTCCTTTAAAAGCTATATTTTAATTAAAAAAAAATTAAATATTTATTTTGATGGGCATGACACTGGGTTTATGTTTACATCCGCCAGCCAATAGAGGAGGACACAGTTGCAGGTCGCCAAACAGTCCGTTCAGCACAGCGAGGCTCAAGCAGCTGCTTCTGAGGCCAGAAGATGTTATCCTTCTCGGAAGAGAAGCCACCATAACAAGATCTAACACCAGAGTGAGTTTGGATGAAGCCAACAACTGATGGATCCAAATAAAAACTTTCACATATCAGTAGTGAACCTGCTACCCCAGCAGCTGGAAACCTTGTTCTATTGTTGCAACTACAACCTCCACATACTAGATGTTGCTTAGGTGTTCGTGGTTCATATTCAATCTATAAAATAGGGCTGGGCAATAAATCGAAAATTTATCGTTATCGAAATTTCTGACTCTTATCGAGAATTTTCCCATGTCAATAAATTTGATAGTAAAAAAATGAAAAGATGTGTGTAGGTTGGCAACGTTCATGTCACGTTCAGAAGCTGAACCATCTTGAGTCACGTAAAACTGTGACTCAAGTAATACACGTGACAGCCTCACCTAGTGGACAACTTTTGTTTCTGCGTATACCTGTAGTTATCGCCCACTTATCGTTATCGAGGTGAAATCCTCAGTATATTGTGATATTGATTTTAGGTCACATCGCCCAGCCCTACTATTAGGGATGCACCGATCAGGTTTTTTGCTGCCGATCACCGATACCGATATCAAAGAATGCTGATCACCGATACCGATCACGTGGATTGGCCAGAAATTTTCTACAACAGTATAATGAGTGCTACAAACTACATAATCTGGGAATAAAGGAAATGTAACCTAATCTAAAATGGTCTGTATTAAGGTTGTCACGGTGTGAAAATTTAACCTCACGGTTATTGTGACCAAAATTACCACGGTTTTTGGTATTATCGCGGTATTTTTTTTTAAACGTGCTACATTTTCACACAATTAAATAAACCCTGTATGTCAGGAAATATTGTCCTCAGTTTGTGTCAAAATTTAGCCTAAAATGTGTTATTTTGTAATTATGTTGTTTATTTGTTTACATTTTTTCCCTTTAGTCTTTAAAATACCAATATTTGCCCATAACTTTTTATTTTATGTCTGTTTGATGTCATCATTTTAAAAATATTAGTTCAGATGATACTCAGTACTCAAGTAGCCTTCTAATCAGATACTTTATTACCCTTACTTGAGTAATAAACCCTATATCAGGAAAATATTGTCCTCGGTTTGTGTCCTTCCAGTGAGCGTTGCAGATGTGGGAAAACATCATCAGGCAGTAATCATTGTTAAATTCATAATTATTCTCGGAGAGAGACCAACTCTTATCTGCCCCTGGAAGCCCCGTAATGCATAGCGTCATTTCAACATGGCGGTGTCCGAGACACGGTTTATATGCAGGTAGCGGTGCTGCGGCTGCTTTATATAGCGACTCGTTGCATTCTCCCTCAACCCAAATCCTCGGATCACGCATTTTAGCTAAAACGCTAACGTTAGCTTGCCTTGCGTTGACTAGAGTTGTGGGTGATGGTCACGCAGATGTGTCATGAGATTTGAAGCGTTGCTGCCTTTCACAGACACTTTTTCTGCACGTGCTGCAAACAGGATAGCCATCTTCTATCAACTGTCCCTCGGCATTCTTCAAATATCTAAAAGATGCCCGTACTTCCCACTTTGTCTTCTTTGAGGGATAAAAAATGTCCTCCTGAGCGCTGCCGTCTCCTCCTTTGGCCATTATTTCAGCTTTAGCTTCAAGAAAGTTTTCGTTGTAAACAACAAAGCGCGCATGTGCCGCCGGCAACTTCAGCCGATGATACGGTGGCTGGTAAGGGTCACCGCGCCTACACCGCAGCCACGGTAATCCACCGAGATAATATAGTTTTTTAAAAAACAAGACGGTTATTATTATTGTCAACTTTTTTTTACCGGGGTTTACCGCTATACCGGTTACTGTGACAACCCTACCTGATCGATCTGCTTTGATTTATTTTGAAAACTCCGATCAAAACCGATAGGGGTGCTATCGGCCGATTATGATCAAATGCCGATCCATCGGTGCATCCCTACCTACTATAAAATATTAAAAACCGATACGATAATTTCCAATATCACATTATAATGCCAATCTGGGCTGGTACTATTAGAAAGAACTGATTTAGTAGTGGTACTACAAGATATGCTTGACTGCAATTTACACTGCACAATTAGGACCAATACCCACTCAAAGAGACCAATAACCAGCATAAAAATTAAATACCATGAGTTTAGGTTCTGGGATGAAGTTATGGACACATACAGAACTTGTGCTGGATTCTTCTTCTGTTTAACTAACTTTCTACAAAATATGTAATGCAAGATTAATTATTTTAATTAAATTTTCTGAGGGCTCAAAATGTAAATTGCTGTTTTTTAATGACAGATGCTGTAGCACAAAGCTGATCAAGTCATTGAACAGATGGCTAACATAAGAAAAGTGATGTTTATCTCCTATTTTATTAATGGCATCATCTGTTTTTTCATCTATATTGCCTTTGTAGTTTCATCAGTAAATGTCACCCCTCTTCTAGTGACCTCTTCAATGTTTCTCCTAACTGTCAAATAAAAGCCACCAGTGTGCAGCTGTAAATATTTAAAAACAATTATGTCGCGAGCGTTTTACCTGTCATCGTTTGCTATGAAGAAGCTAAACAACTGAAAACGTTTACACAAGAGCTATAAAACAGTTCCTTTAAAAACTGTTGTGCGTAACCCATTTTCATTTTGTTACATTGATTAAAAATGCATAGACTCTCCTCCACGGTTCATCTGACAGCTTCAGTTCCTAGTAAAATGTATTAGGAAGATTTTAAACAGTGGATTTTATTGTATACTAGTTTTCATCAATAAAGATGACAACATGTGTGAAGGATTAACCACGGCAACCAAACATTTGCCATGATTTTAATACTTGGATTATTATTTTTCATAATTATGTACAAGTACAGAAATGTTCTTGTCATGGTGTTTTTTAAATAAAATTGTACCTTGATATTGAAGCACTTGTTTAAGAGAATCAGAGTACTTCTTCTACCACAAATTTAAATGATGGAATACAACTCCACAGCTGTCTTTCTGCCTGTTTAGTACAGTTGTATGGATATGCAAAGTAAGGCATGCTGACTCCATACACTCCTGTTATTAGACACCACCTGGTGGTGGGTATGCGAGGACTCTCTAAACTACTCAGTTAGAAATTGAAGAGGAAAGTTTCTCATATGTAAACATGATCCTTGTGTCTGGAAAGAGAAATAGTTCTACTTTGTTTACTGAACATTCAAAAGGTTTACGCCTTTTACTCACCATTAGATGTGAACAACCAAATGTGATTCATGCAAATTAGTGTTATACATAAATGACCTCCAGTGATGTGATTTTTTGTTAACACCAACAGCTGGGAGTCATGAAATACATTTATTCAAGCAAGTGTCAAACAAATGACACGTTTTGCTGAATTTACTGTAACTTTGACTGTTGATTTATTGTTAATTTTATTGTATATTATGATGAAGTGAAAATAAGCATGCATATCAGGGGAGTTAGAGCTCTATTTTTAGAGCACAAATTTAAATAATAAAACTTAAAAGAACATAGCAGGGTAACAAACGACCTATGAGTTTATTTTTACAAAATTACAGGAGGAACGGATGATGACAACAAAAGCAATACATGTCTCATGTTTCTGGAATATATTCAAGTATGTCGCTCAGGTATTTATGTGAATAATAAGAAGAGGATTGGGAATTTACAAACTGATTCAAAAGGAAACTGTCCCTCTGAATTCCTAGTTTTCAAATAACTTATACAATTGCTGGTGGAAATTTATTTACAATAATAAAAGTGTAAGCATTAAATTAGAAAAATATATATCCTTTTTTTCTTTATTATGAAGCATTATATTTGCCTGTACATTATGTTTGTCAGTTTTATATATAATGACCAGTTTTAGTTTTCAGTGCCTGTAGCAATTCCCAGTTCAGCACTGATGCTTCGGATTCGGATGTATCTCAAAGAACTACGGACAAAAAAAACGTATTGTTTTATTAATAAAGTCTAAAATCATTAGAAAATTATTATTCTTAAAGTAAAACTGCCCAACAGAAAATATACTGGTACTAATCTGACATTGTTCATGCTGTGAACAATGTCAGATTATTAATTGAATCGTTCACAAAGAGCAAAATAAAAATGTGGTAGATGAAGTTTTTATTTTAAAATATCTTATTTATATCATTATATTAAATTATGTTTACGTCTTGTCTGAATAATGATGGAAGTACGAGTACAAGCTACATACATACAATCCTCCTAAAAGACGTAGGCAACATGGGTGCACATCAAAACACTTATCATGTAACTTAACTGTCACCTTTTAGACCAACAAGTATTATCAGATATAATCTGTTTATAGCAGAGATTAAGCACAAGATAGCAGATACTACACACGAACAGTACATGTACATACATACCTGACATTGCATCAACTCATCCGATAAATTCTTCACCTGCTCCTCCAAAACCAGGATGCGAGAGTCATCGTTGGAGCACATTTTTAATCTAACATGAAAGAAAAGAAGGTTAAATCTGGAGCAGCTGATGAGAATGTCCACAAACACTCGTAACGTTACTTGTGTAAGCTTCAGGTTTCAGAGCGACACTAAAACACTTTCTAGAGTAGACTGTAAGTCGAAACTTACCTGCAACGAAGACAGGACGATATAAAAACACTTTTTCCTTCCTACGTTGATGTTAGGGTAGCTATCTCGGCTAACATTAGCTACTAGTCATATTTTTCGTCTTCTATTCCCCGACAGTAGTTTTCCGCACAATGGCGCTGGTAAGAATGACGCGAAGAGTTGTTTCTACTCCATAAGAACTCTTTTATAAATAGTTTTTTCCTTATATGAAGCCAAAACAAACTTTACAGGAGACAGATGGCAGTAACCATAGGGACGGATTCAAACCGGCCCGCTGGTTTCCGTTTTTGCGACTTTTTACAGCAGTTTCCTTCAGAATCCGGTAACATAATTAGGTAGATCGAAAAACGTCAATAAAAATAAGACAAGTGGCAAAATTAAACACAAGCATTCACAATTTAAAATACTTTTGAAAGTTTTATAATAATAATAATAATAACACATATTATTATTGTTGTTGTTGTTGTTGTTGTTGTTGTTGTTATGCAAACTATTTATGACGAAAATACAGGCTTTAACCTGGGGGAAATAATTTTAGAACATTGCAGTCTGCTGTTAAAGCAGTGCTTGGAAATTGGCATGATTCATTGCAAAAAGCCAAGGTTATATTAACATACAAGAACTAGACAGTTTCCTTAAGTTTGTAAGAAATATTGGATTTTTGGTACATTACATTATCATTGTAAGGACTTAATATTCTGGTTAAGAACATAAAGAAACAGGTACAGTGGGGAAAACATTATTTATATGCAACTAGTTTTATTCCCATTCCATAAGAGAAAAGCTCATTATTTACAAGACTGTATCTCCCAGTTTATTTTTATGCTCAACAGGTTCATTCACAGCGAAACAACAAAAGCAGATTTTCACCATATTTATTTGACAAGATTTTCACACCTTTTAGGAAATATTACAATAATCCTGCAGGTGCATATTTACCAAGTAATTAGCAGTTTATTGTGCCTTTAAAGGCCAATTGCACAAGAGAGGATGCTCCTGCTAGAATTGAGAAATAGCTGCAAGTGAAATGAACATGTCTGACATCTGTTTTGCTGGTGAGACAAGACAACTCCATATTGCGTGGATAATGTATTTAACTGTCCAGCTAGATTTGGAGCATGGAGTGAGAGAGGAAAACGAAGAACTATGTTCACTGCCACTTCTTCTGAGTCTGATAAATGTTTATTCTTTTGCTCACAAATGTGCATGCACGTGCACATGAACACATGCACATACACACACACAGAGCAAAAGAGAGAGACAGGGACAAGGGATAAGATGCAATTGACTTAGTATGATTAGGCTGCTCCTTTACCCACAAACACTGCCTCTCATTAGGATGCTCATTTGCAGGGCAATTTTAGAGGCAGTAGACTGGTACATAGTGTGCAGCATCTGCTTTCCCCTTGTTTCTTGTTCAGCCTCATAAAGTAACACATGGTGTCTATGATTTTGCTTCTCTTACTCATCAAGGGAGGAAGAAAATGGACTGTCATGCTTCTGCAACAGGTTTTTCAGTCTGGTCTTTGTAGTCAAACCATTTACAGGTCATAATGTATACATTAAAAATGTTTTCCGAGGTTTGAGTGTGTGAGGGGTTGTTGGTTTAAATTTGTGGCCCTGTGATGGACTGGTGTCCTGTCCAAGTAGTCCCTTACTTGATGGCTGCTGGAGATAGGCCACCAGCTCCCTGTTCGGCTAGACTGGAGTACTCCTAACAGAGCTAAGGTACCCAGATAATGCAGTTAGAAAACCATATTTCTCTACACGTGAACGACATTGCAGCTTTGTCGAATTAGGACCGCCCTGGACTCTCTCCCTCCCGGAAGTGACAAGTCCATGGAAGCTGCCTTCTGGTAATTTTAGCACCAGAAGTCTCCCTGAGAAATGTTCATGTAACACCATCAAACAATACATACCAAGTGTACTGTGCTGCAGGAGGTTGGTTTTATCACTTTCTATAGCCATTGTTCTGCTTTTACTCTGTCTGTTTCACTCCAGCCAGCATTTGTTTACGATTTGTGTTTTGCTTCAGGCTAGAAGGGAGCATATTGCCATCCACTGCTTTATTCAATAATTCTGTTAACCAACATGTAAACTAGGTTGAAGGATCTCGTTCTGGTTAAAGTATTAGCTCAATTGTTGCCCTAACCTGACTAAGATGTTGATGTAACCGCACTGAATGGGGGGGGGGGGGGGGGGGGGGGTTGCAAAGAAGGTTCAAACACTAACAGCATTTGGGTCGTGAGAGTAAAGAGTGGCAACATAGTCTATTAAAGGCCACAACCACCACTTACATAAGTTTATTTAGTTCCTCATTACTTGTACCAAACTCTGTCTGTAAATAAAAGATCGGAAAATCAAAACTACTTAAATGTGTTTCAATACTTAAGATGCATATTAATTCCACGCTATTAGGGGAAAAATGCTTAAAGTGTTCATGAGATGGTCTGTCTATCACTCGATTAGTAGTGCCACAAAGCTCAGACATAGGTTAGAACTCTATTATCACCAAAAGTTGTCTGCCACTGCATTCAGAGATGCAATCTGAAACAGTGGAAACAATGCATCATCTCTGCACACTTTGCCGTGGTGTTTTAGATTAGAGTCAGTGATGGCAGAGGAGAGCCCTCGCCCACTGGTGTGGCTTAGTGGTTGACAATTTGAAGGAGGTCATGCATGTCTTGAGCCTATAGGCTACAAGCTCACTACACCATCAGCATCATGGAAGCATGCTATGATCTTCAAAAACGTAGCTGACATGCTCTGCGAGACTTGTGAAAACATGATGCAATGGTGGGTGTACGTTGAATGATCGTGTTGAAGCACGATAAGGGCTCGAGAAATCTGTTAATCTCAATACGGATGCTGAGATGCTGATAACACTAAGTTCTATTTATCCATTAGGTGACATGAATTCAATCATTAAAGTTGACTACAAGCATGGTTTTGAAAACAAAAAAAACCCTGGATGTCTCTTCATTCTCTGTTTTTAAACTCAGACAAGACAGAGATGGTGGTTTTTGGACCTGACTCTGAGACGCTAGACAAATTGTGACGCCATTCACTTATGCCATTCAGAGTTAGTGGGACCCCATCACTAATGTAAGGAACCGTGATGTGTGTTTGGATCAGGATGTTTCCTTTGGCATGTAAAACACATTTCTAGGACTAATTTCTCTCGTCAGTATTACTAAAATTAAGGTCAATTTGGCTCAAACTGACAGAATAAAATTTGTCCATGCATTTAGGTTTGGCTTTTGCAAATACCTTTAATCAGGATGTCCAAAGATTTCTTTTTCAGTGTCCAGTTGTTCAAATGTCCCTGCCACAGTTCTGGTAAAAGAAAAGTGAAAGTCCCATTAGTCATCACCACACACTAGTGAAACTCCAGCTCCGGGGAGCAGTGAGCTGCAACAGTGGCTGCATTTGGGAATTATTTGGTGATGTAACCCCCAATCCAACCTCTTAAAGCTGAGTGTCAAGCAGGGAGGCATTGGGTCCCATTTTTAAGGTCTTTGGCATGACCCAACCAGGATTTGAACCTTGATCTCCCAGTTTCAGGGTGGACACTCTACCACTAGGCCACCAAGAAACATAACGCTTTTGATGGTTACTACAAATGGTGTCACAAGTATCTTCTTTCTGATGTAGGTTTTCATAAGTGACCATGATCCAGACACATTCTGATAGGTCATGTAGTTAAAGGGGGAATTAGAGGGTCTTAATCCAGTGTGAAGGGGGACTAATCAGGAATGATGGTGCAGCTTTGGAAACAGGATTTTTTGTTAATTTTGTTGGTGGAATGAAAACAGATTTAGTTAAATGTGTAAATATAGGAGGTTGGTCAGCAATTCTATAAAAACAATCCTCTCATTTCTTCTTCTTTCAATTAAAATAAATAATAAACAGATTTTCAAAATGATAAAAGTTCACAGCTTTGCATTAAAGGTGGTTTGTGAAAGACAAAATTAGCCAAATCCCTGAGTTAGGTGAAGTTTAACTCGTTGAAACAAATTAAACAAGGTGTAACTTATACCCCAAAAGTCATCAGAAATTTAAATGATAAGAATCCCACTCTTGTGAAAGCTGCCAACATGAAGTGATCATGCCCTGACTATATCCCCTCTTTCAACATCAGATGCTTATAATCTGGTCTGAGACAGTTAAAGTTGCTCCCGCAGACATGTTTCACCACGTTTCAGCAGCGTCTTCTGCTGTCTTGTGCGCTGTCTTTAAGCCGTTTGCTGTCTCTCCCACTAATGACAGATTAATCCAAATCTGAGAGCATCTGAAGCCCATGAAAGTCACACTTCAACAAGCAGTCTTTCATAACACCACTGATGATGCTTCCTGTATTTAAACATGAAAAATCTCTGCTAATCTATTTCAGATCAGTCGTGATTTGATCCTACCTGTCCGTCTCTCGTGTTGATTATTTCCTTTCACCAGAACAACTTTAAACTTTCATCCACAAAGACGATTAAAACAGAAATTTGTGTTATTGTATCTTTAAGTAAATGTAGTCTTTGTTTCAGGTGTTTGATGTACACTCCATGAGCATTTCATGCAGACATTTATTGCATTTTTTTGTCCAATTGAAGCATTTTCACTCATATTAAATTCTTATTTATGCACATACAGATCTGACCACTATTAGTGATTATTGAGATGCCTCCACAGCTAGACTGGTGCACACCTGTGTCAGCTTCATTAGACACGGGCAGAAAAAAACACCTGCCAGTTGATAAAAGGGTCAAAGCTGGAGCATAATGTAAGGAGCACTGTCCATTGATAGTTGAGACAAGATTCTGTATGCTAAATGACCCAGAGACATTTTTGTGGTACTGAAAGTGTTTCAAAACAAATTGGCCTTTATTATTGTAAAACAACAATGTTTGAATCCACCAAAGCCTTTTACTTTAGGTTTTCTAACTTGTCAGGCAACCTGAAAGCTTTCTCAGGCTTTCCAGTGAATGTGTAAGCAGAGCGTAATGTAATAGATGTGTTTTACCCACATGCTCTCTTCCCACCGAGTGTGGCAGGTGGCAGCCAAAGTGTCATATTGAAAATGAAATGACTGGAGAACAGCAAGACCATGTGTGATTTGGACAGTTCACGCGATAACAAGAAAGGAGAAAGACAGCAGCGTGTAGGGCTGCGATTAATTGAAAATGTATCGTTTTTGAAATTTCTGACCAACCGATATAATTTTTCCCAGGACAATAAATTTGATCATAAGCAATGAAAAGACGTGTGGCGGTTGGCGACGTCCAT